GAAAGAGGATTCAATTCTCTTCACCCTCCCCACAGGGAGACAGCATCACACACGTGGGTGTACACATGCCCACGGGCTGTACTCACTCCAGTGACTGCCTGTGAGTAGCTCTTCATCTCAGCCACGGTTGAGACCTGGAGAAAAGGCACCTTCAGCCCCCACAGAGCCACACTGCCACCCCAAAGTGGGGCTCTGCCGGCCCCAGACTGTCCCCTGAGCCCCCCCCATCCCTCACCGCTGTCAGCAATGCCGCCGTGCCACCCCCAGCCCACCCTGGGCCCCTCAGGCAGGGCACAGAGCCCGTACCCCATTCTCCAGCGCGTACGTGTTGATGAGGTAGGCCAGCATGTTGCAGAGCCAGAGTGAAAGGATGTCCCCGAGGAGCCGGGGGATGAGGCCACTGAAAGAGAAGAGGCAGTGGGAACATGAGCAGACCCAGACCTGGCCACAGGGAGTGCTGGGACCAGATCCTTGGGAACGAGAGGGGACAGCCGTTCACCTGAAGCCGGTGAAGAGGGAACTCCCATCACAGGAGCAGGGATGCTCGGACAAGCGGTTCCGAGAGGACATGGGCACAGAGGGGAACTGCCGAAGGGACCCAAAACACACCCCCAGGCACCAAGAGTGGGAGGCTGGTGCTCTCAGGGGAAGGTTTAATACACTTTTGCTTCATTTTAATGTCCCCAGATGCCAGATGTCACCCACGCAACCCAGGGCTGGCAGCTGTGAGGCGGGGGCTTGCCAGATCCATGCAGGAAGACCCCCGGGGAGGGCAGAACAGGAAACCATATGCCCCAGCAGTAGCCAAGGAGAAGGCAGAGCACTTCTCGAGCGAGACAGGAGGGCAGAGCTGCAGCGCAGCAGCTGGAGCAAGGAGCAACACCTGAGCAACGCCCAAGGATTTTGGGGAGGGACCCCACTGCCCCCCTTCTCCAAGGCCCCTGTTGTCAGCACTCACGCAAAGAAGCCCAGGATACCCTCTTCTCGGTAAATCGTGGTGAAAGCACTTAGAGTCCCGCTGGGCCAGGGAAGCATAAGAGAGTGCCATGGTCAGAGGGGGCCCCGTGGGCAGGCAGCCCCGCCACAGCAGCCCCAGTCCCCCACCCCGTACCTGTACTTGGTCTCCCGGCCGATGAACTGCACCATGCAGCGCAGGGTGATCACTGCGGGCAGAGACAGCGGTGTGGAAGTCAGTGGGGGGCACAGGGACATCCCAGGGTGACACAGGGGTAACAGGCGCTCATCACCCAGGTCACCAGGAACTGCATGCTGGCTGCGGGGGTGGCACCTACCGTGGAAGGGGTGGGTGATGAGCGTGGCGGCAGAGCGAGCGACCATCTCTCGGGAGGTCTAGGGAGAAACGGGCTGTCAGGAGGAGGGGGCTGGTGACAGGGACGCAGCAAGCAGAGAGAGCCCAGCAGTGCCGGACTGAGCCCCTCTCATACCCGAGTGGACCCAGCACCCTCCTCCTCCTCACCTCCTTGAGGACCTGCTCCAGCGAGGACACGGGCTCCTTCTTGCTAGCTCCAAGCTGGAGAGAGGAAGAGGCATCAGGTGGGGAACAGCCCTCTGAAAGGCATCGCTCCCTCCACACCACACCTGAAAGGATCTGTCCCCCCCGAGCATGGGCTCGGTAGCCCCCCAGCCCTGCCAGGGCCCTCTGCCCTATGCCTTTTTCCCTGGGGACAGCACTCAATGTCGGGCTGCCTCCGGTGGGAAGGAGGGAGAGACAGAGAGCTGAGGGACAGACAGAGGATTCACCAGGGGAAGTGGCCTCGCACCTACCTCAGCCTGCTCAGCCTCCTGGTACCGCTGGGG